GGGTTCGTGATGGGGGAAGGGGGAAAATGAGCAACTGATATTAAGGGCTGAGGTGGAGGGCAAATGTTTTGAGAATGATGAGGGCAGCAATGTACATATGTGCTTGACACAATGGATGAATGTATGGATTGTGATGAGAATTGTACAAGCCCCCCAAAAAATAAAATTAAAAAAGTAAAAAGGGAAATTAAAACCTACATGAATATGAATTTAACAAATTTCAAAAGAGATGGGTGTCATCTCTTTTGATTATTAGTAGAAATCAGTTAGGATATTGACTTCATTAGATAGTGTAAGCTTCATTCAATCAGTTCATTAAAATGTTTAAATTCTGCTTTTAAAAAATTGATAGAAATAAATACCCAGGCATTTATTTGCTATTACTGTTTCACTATAGACAAATTTTAGTTCCTCAGATGAACTTATTTTTAATTTCTTTACTGTTTTGTTATTACATAGCTCTTTTTAATAAACTATTGTGAACTGACTGGAAGTTTACAGATCAAGTTTTAAATTGGTACAGTAAGTCTCTATATTCCTTACATCTTGTTTTGATATTTTTGTGTTGTTCAATGTAGTACCCAATATTGTTAATACTGTCTCACACACTGCCACTAAGTGAATGCATTTTCCGTTTTTTGAGACATTTTCATTCCATTTTTTCTTAAAGACTGGGACAGGGAGAAATTACTTGAAGCTTGGATGTCCAACCCAGAGAACTGCTGCCAACGATCAGGTGTTCAAATGCCAACTCCACCACCAAGTGGGTATAATGCCTGGGACACACTCCCTTCTCCGAGAACTCCAAGGACTACACGCTCTTCTGTAACCTCTCCAGATGAAATCAGTTTATCTCCTGGAGATTTGGACACAAGTTTGGTAGAGTTTCATGTTTTATGATATGCTTCCCGTAATAGTGTGGGGTTTTTTTCTTTTACTTTTTAGTATATTCTTGTTACATGGAACCTCTGGTGTATTCTTATAATTAAATCATATCTCTTTCTTAAAGCATGCAGCTATTTACATGCTCTGGAAAATATCAGAATATTTTTTGCAATCTTTAAAGTACAGATTGAAAAACAAAATGTGTGCCTTGCTCATTTCAAAATAGCATAAAGAAGTTTGGGGAACTCCATCAGCTGCACTTTCTCTTAAAAACTTCCACTTGAAGTTTTAAATATAGCATATCAAAATTAATAAAATTGAAGCAGTTAGTGGTAGGCATTATAAACCCCAAATAGGAAAACAGTTTCTTATAATTTCTAGAAAGTTATTAAGTGATAAAATCATCTTTGACATTCATAATTGTGTATCTGCTCCATCGATGCTTTTGGAGTTTTCATCTAATAGTTTTATAGTAAATAGTTTCTTTTTATGGAGAAACAGTACTGTTATTGTCTACATTTTGAATTGACATGCCACTGGTCTATTGTTGCAGGAAAGCTTGACATTTCTTGAGTGATTTAGCCACTCAGAATATATGATAATTGTGAAAACTCTCATTTTATCTATGCCTTTTTGCTAAATATAATTTTTCACTAACTCACAGTTCTAACATAATAAGTTTGCTTCTCATCGATCATCATGAAGACGATGCATAAATTTGTAGTGGAGGGTCCCAGAGTAGAAACCATTAAGTTGCTACTCTGACTATCCCAAGTAGCTCTACTGAAAACACAAAATGACTGTTGTTACAGATTTTCTGTGTAAGCATAGAGTGAAGGACATGATGTTGGAGTTGTTTATTCTGCACCATGTAATTTGATCTTGACTCAAGTAGATTGTAATGATTTCTTCTTTTTCCTTTCATTTCCCATTGTACAGTTACTGATAAATTACATGTATTTGGGATTTTGGAGTTTGATTTTTTCATTAAACATTTAAATCCTACAAGATAATGAAGTAGGCATAGTATATGTTATTCAGTCAAAGGTGGACACAACTTGAACTTTACTCATAACTTTGAAACACTTAACTTTTATAGTTTATCGTTATTTGCCTACTTTTAGGAGCCCTGGCTTACAAGTTGGGCTGCTAACCTCAAGGTCAACAATTCAAACCCACCAGTTGCTCCTTGGAAGAAGCATGTAGTTGTCTGTTCCATCCCAACTGACAGCCTTGGAAACCCTCCGAAACGAAACGGTTCTACTCTGCCCTATAGGGTTGATCTGAGTCAGAATTCACTCCATGGCAATGAATGTGGTTTGGGGCTTTTTTTTTTTTTTTTTTAGTTTACAATGAATTTATTGTTCTTCCTCCAAAGTATGACTTTGCTTATATAATTATTCCTCTATCTCCAGTGTGATATTTGCATGTGCAGTATTTCTGTATTTGAAGACCCCGTGGATATGCCCTGTGGACATGACTTTTGTAGAGGATGTTGGGAATCGTAAGTAGACAGCATAGCATCTCTTAGTGCATGATAGCATTCTTACTTACGAATAAAATGAATATACTTTCAATAATTAATGATATAGGTTATACTAGTTTCAAAGTTACACTGAAATATACTATGGTTTACTACTAAGGAAGAACATACATATTTTTGTTATTTTGATATCTTGCCACCTAACTTCTCATTCATGTTATCTAGCTTATTAATGTATTATACTTTAGAACAGAATATATACGGATACATTTTTTAGTATTCTCATTTATAACACATTTAATTTCAAATCTAGACATTAACATCAAGAATCACTTCTATCTTATAGCCAAAGAATTTTAAGCATTTCATTTTGTGCTTTCTCTGATCATAAGTCTTGAAAAATTTGTAAGAATGTAGATATTTAAGATTACCTTATCAATTCGAAGTTTAAGGTTTTTGCTAGGCATGCTTAGGAATATATTACAAGTGGAAAATATATTTCACTTTTCATGATTATCTGTTTACCTTACAATGGCATTACCAAAATTTTATGTTTTCTCACCACACTTAGCTTTAATGTCATGCTTTTCAAGATATGTTTGTAAACAATATGAGAGAAAATCAATATGATGTTATCTCTGACGGTAAAAAGCTTCCCTATTGATGATTTAAGTCAAGCATGTTATTAGTATTTAATGAAATTCTAAAAATCAGAAACTTCCACCTGTTTTTCTTGGAGTACCGGATATAAAGTAGAGGAAGCCTGGGAAATCATGTGGGCAAGAGGGCAACACTTTGAGCCTAGAGTTTCCTGTTGGTTATTCCTGCCTCTCCAGTTTTCTGGGTTTTTATTTTGTGTTGCATTGTTTTAACAACTTTCCATTTACATACAACAAACTAAATAGTCTTATAAGCTTTGACCTATGTATACACCTGTGAAACAACCCCCACAATCAAGGGAATGGATATCTGCATCACCTCAAAATGCCTTCATTTTCCCTTCCTTCCTTCCCTCTCCCTCCCTCTTTTCCTCACTTAACCCTTGTCCCTAGTCCATAGGAAACCACAAATCTTCTTTCAGTTACTCTGGCTTAGTTTTGAATATATTTCTAAAAATCAATTTTCTAATTGGGGAATGTGGCAATATTTCATTTGGAAGAAAGAAAACAAATGGTTAAAAAGTCAAAATAAATAAAAATATCTACTCATTCTTTTAAAACATGAACTACACTCTGTTCCTGTGTCTTACTTGTTCATGTGTGTGGCAATCAAATTATGACTCATGGCAGCACCTTGTGTGCAGAATAGAACTGCTCTATACGGTTATCAAGGGCTAGTAATGGTGTATTGCTTACACTTTGGGCTGTCAACCACAAGAGCTGCTTCGAGGGAGTATAAGGCTTTCTATTCACATAAATAGAGATATATATAGTCTCAGAAGCCCACATGGCTTCTATGCCCTGTCCAAAAGGGTTTGTGAGGAGTTGGAATGGACTCTGTGGCACTGTGTGAATATAGAGTTATTCAGAGCAAATCAGTACAGTTGTTAAAAGGTCTCACAATCCAAAATGATCCTCAACCCATTTCTGGAGGCAGAAAATCTTCCCAAGTAAGCGTTTTTTACTTAACATGTTAAATGTATTATGCAAGGTCTATTACCCGAGTTATACCAACTCTTGACCTTGGTTTATAAGGGAGAACTGAGCCCCTCAAGGGTTTTACTCTACCATTTGTCAGTTTGTTGTACTGTGGTAGCTTGTGTATTGCTGTGATTCTAGAAGCTATGTCACTGGCATTTCAAGTACCAACAAGGTCACCCAAAGTGAATAGGTTTCAGCAGAACTTCCAGACTTAGAAGAAACTACAAAGAAAAAATAGACTGTCCATTTCAGAGGAGTTAGCCCCTGAGATCTTATAGATAGCAGCGAAACACTGTCAGATAATTGAAAACTTCATGAATAGAAGCAGAACATTGTCAGAGATAGTGCCCTAAGGCATTCAAAATATAACTGAGGAAGAGCCAGCTTTTTTTTTCAAAGCAGTTAACCATGATGACATGGATGGAGTAAACCTTTTGAGAGGCAAGCCTTCAGGACCTTCTTTTGCTGATAGGACACAACTCAAAATGAGAAGAAATAGTTGTAAACCTGGAATGTATGAAGTACAAATCTAGGAAAATTGGAAGTTGTCAAAAATTAAAATGAAGCATAAAGATTGATAATTCTAGGCATTAGTGAGCTGAAATGGACTAGTGTTAGCCATTTTGACTCTTAAGTCCTTTACATTGAAACAGCCAGCATGCTTTGGTATGCTTCAGAAATGCCTTTTATTTTCTATTAAAAACAGAATCCTAAAAAACCAAACTGTATTCAAGGTTTAATATAGTTCATAATTTTTCATTCTTTCATGAAATGACATACTTAAGTAAAACTGACTTTTTTTAACTGCAAGTGGTAGACAGTGAAAACTTGATAGACAACTAGTATATTTAAGTGTCACTGCCCAGTTTCAGGCTAAAGCACCAGCAGATTTAGCCAAAAAAGGGCAGGTAAAGTCTTGATATCTTTTCATAGTTTTAATCCTATAAAGCCCTTGAAGGCTTTCAGGGATCCCCTCAGTGTGCTTGAGAACAGCTGCTGTGCAACCTTTTCCTGAGTGCCTCCTCCTTCCTGACCTTGCCGAAGTGGTTGTCCTCAGAGTAACACAAGTGCTTTTTAACTGGAAATTCAGATGCACAATACCCTTCTCTTGAGCTATATTGGTTTGTACAGTGTGTGGATTTCAAATTCATATTAAATAGAGGAATATTTTTAAACATACCAAGTTTAAAATGTCTACGGAACAGATAGTGAAAGTGTCTTTTGTGTAATCATAAGGAATAGCAAAGGCAGGAGATCTGGGCTATAAATTTCAGAGTCGTTAGTTTATCCATGATAGCTTAATGAGTTAGGGGTAATTTTGTCATTCAAGCACATTGAATGGGAAGGAAAAGGAAGATTTTTTAGGTAAAAACTAGAGAACAACAAAGCGTAAGTAATCAGTGGAGAAAAGGGTACAAGTGAAAAAAGTGAACAAGGAGCAACCAGATTGCCAGCAAAACAATTAAGCCCTGGAAGCCAGAAGAAAGAATTTGAAAGACGGAAGTGTTCAGCAGTGTCTGGTGTTCCAGAGAAGTCAAAGAAGATAAAAAAGTAGAAGTCTGAATGAACTGGGCCAATGGTTAGTCATTTCCGTCTGAGTGCTGCAGGTGGAGAAATGAATGGAAAGGGCATGGAGGAAAGAAGTATAAATGATCATAAACATTCTTGTCAAGAAATTTAATATCAAAAATAAATAAATTTAATATCAAAAGAGGAAAGTGAAACTAAATTCTTTGGTTGAGAAAGTTTTCACAATGGGAAAAACTTGAGTGTATTTATTGTACTTGGCATGAAAGTCATTAGAGAGTAAGAGTAAAGATGGAGGATAATTTAGGTAGTGCAAGCCCCAGAGCAGGCCAGAGACTTTGAAGATTACCCTGGGAGTAAAATACCTCTCAACAAAGTGAGTGGGAGGAAGGCAAAGGTAACCACAGTTTAGTTATGTCAAAGAAGACATTAAGAAAGGGACCCTTTCTCTCTGAAGTACCAAGATGAGAGTATCCAGGAACAAGAAGATAGGGCAGTGAAGCAGATCTCATGTGGTCTCAATGAGGTGGTTTTGGTTTGGGTTAAATGAAGTGGAATTAAAATATTAAGAGAATGAAGAGAAAAAGCTATAGTCAGTGGAATAATCATACTGTTAATGGTAACAACTAGGGAGTTGTGATTTAATTGCCAGGTTGTCCATTTATTTGCTCAAGGTTTAAATCTTCAGTCTATTGTTATTTACACTTGAGAAGTTTGTTTGGTTCTTGCGTTTACAGAGACAGTGTTAAATAATAATAATCCTTGCTACAGTAATTCTTTGTCAGGTATCATACAGATATTTCATATACATTACAGTGTTTACTCTGTACATCAATACTGTGATATGCATATCATTAACTCTGTTTCACACATCACAAAACTGAGGCTCAGAAAGGTTAAATGAATTGCTGAAAATCATAGTTTATTGGTGGCAGACCTGAATTTTCTAACTCAAAATCCCACTCCTCTCTATGTAATTACCTTGAGCTACATTTCTGCCACTCTCCAAGATACTTTTTCCCCATAACTTCAGTTAGTGTGCCTAAATAGAACATAAAACTCATTTTAATCTTCTGCCCAAAGTAATATCAGAATTCAGAAAGGCATGCTGTATTCCATCACCTCCAAAGCTCTTGAATTTGCGGTGATTGATTTTTATACCTTTTCTCCTCAAAGCTGTAGAAAAATGAAAATTGAATATGATCTAAGCTACTCGTTTCTGAATTTTTAATGTTAAATAAAATGTGTTGTTTTTATTTAATATTAAATAAAAATGTTAAATAAAACAGTTTTAGAAAGAATATAGCAATACAGGAATGTTTATAAAAAAATGAATGACGGGGCAAGTCAATAATGGTCAGTAATGTCTGAATTATGTGAATGAATATATGACATTTAATACTCTGCATTCTTTTAATTATATGTTAATGTAAAATTCAGTATAAAGAATAACTTCTTGGAGTATACAAATAAAATTTTCCCTTACTCTTTTTCTGTCAATTGATAATTTCGATAGGTTTTTGAATCTGAAAATTCAAGAAGGTGAAGCTCACAACATTTTCTGCCCTGCATATGACTGCTTCCAACTTGTGCCTGTAGATATCATAGAAAGTGTTGTTTCTAAAGAGATGGATAAACGATACTTACAGTTTGATATTAAGGTACACTGACAATTATTTGATTTCTTCATTGTAATTTTATTAAACCTGTAGAGCGGGCTTTATGTCATTTTGGATTTAATTTTGAAAACACGGTAATAGTCCCTGACTTTTGTCCCTCAAAAACATTTGATTATTAAGGGAACAAGAGGTAATAAAATTCTAAGATTTTTTTTTTAAGATTGCAACCTCTCTTTAAATTTTTTTATTTTAATAAATCATTTAAGAGCTGTGACTCTCACAGCTATTATAACAATCCGTATGTCAATTGTAGCAAGCACATTTGTATATATGTTGCAATCGTCATTTTCAAAACATTTTCTTTCTGTTTCAGCCATGGTATCAGCCCCTTTTTTCCTTTACTGCCCCACTCTCCCACCCTAAGAGTTTATAGTAATTGGAGGAAAGTAAAAGCTAAACTAGTTAGCTAGTAACTATCAAAACTATTGCCCAGAACAAAAGACTAATATGCCTATTATACTTTAATGACTAATTAATCAAGATAATGTTCAAATTTCTGAAAGGAGATTATCGTATATACTCGAGTATAAGCTGACCCAAATATCTGCCGAGGCACCTAATTTTACCACAAATAAACTGCATAAAAATGTATTTGAAAAACTCAGCTTATGTTCAAGTATATACAGTATATCTTATATCCATATGTATTTAGCAATTAAATTATGATCAACTTGGAAATTTTATGGTTTTTTTTCCAGAGAATAGTTTGCTTTAATAAATCAACTTATTTCATCTTTCAGTTTATCTTTTTAATTTTCATTCGATAATAATTCAGAAATAATATTCAAATTACTTCTATTTTTGTGGAATTTAAAAGGTATATTTTAACTGCCTTTTGCAGATTTTTCTAATCAAAACTCCAATATATGAAATTTATAAAGTAAAATTTCTACTACTTTAAGTATAAAGAGCATTATAATACTGACTTTTTATATTATTGGTATACCATTTTGAAATTTAACTTTCTAGTGCATGTAGTAACCACGTGAGACTATAAATATACTTCAGTAGAAAAATGGCAATGGATGAGTACATTTTACAATTGTATGTTTATGTGAATAATACAGTCCTTTTTTAATCACTTACCTGGTTATGAAAGAAAATATTTTTAAAATTTTGTTATTATGAAGGTAATTGCATTTCCATCTTATTAAGGTTTTTCCATACTTTCAAGTGCCATTTTAAATAGTTCTTGACTCACAACTCTTTTGTTGTATTCATTTTGACTTTAATGTAAATTACCACATGTACTCTGTATTTTAGAATTCAGAAGTAAAATTGTTATGTTTTTTGTTGTTTTGAACAGGCTTTTGTTGAAAATAATCCTGCCATTAAATGGTGTCCTACTCCGGGCTGTGAAAGAGCAGTCAGACTAACAAAACAAGGGTCAAATACATCTGGATCTGATGCACTCAGCTTTCCATTGCTGAGAGCACCTGCTGTGGATTGTGGGAAGGGACACCTCTTCTGTTGGTTAGTATGTTTGATATTAATAAAAAGGATTATGATAATTCCTGTCTCTTTTGTGCTGGATATATGCTAGGCCCTAAGTGAAAATGTTCATTGTATATTGAAAACTCCCAACAGTGCTACTGTATACTGTATACTGAAAATTCCCAACAGTGAGGGAAATTGGGCATAAAAAAAAGTTACCCATAGTAATGCAGTAGTTACCCACATGGCAGAAATTGATTTCAAAACTCTAATGTCAAATTGTTTACCAAAGACTAGAAAATGTTTAGAGATTTAGTTATTCTTAAAGCATAAGCCTTTAACAGTGCATTCTAAACAGAGGTAGCAGGATTACTATGGAAACTTCAAATTTTTGTCCTGGGCACATGAGATTTTGATTCAATAGGTTTGTGGCTGAGGCTTTAAAAAAGCTCCTAGATCAGCAGTTGTCAACCTGTGGGTTGTGACCCCTTTGGGGGTCGTACAAACCTTTCAGAAGGGTCGCCCAATTCATAACAGTAGCAAAAAGTTATAAAGTAACAACGAAAATAATTTCATGGTTGGGGGTCACCATAACATGAGGAACTGTGTTAAAGGGTTGCGGCATTAAGAAGGTTGAGAACCACGGATCTAAGGGAACCGTGGGAGTAAAGATGAGATTTCTGTCTTCTCATTTTTAATGTTAAAATGTTGGTAGACTTCCAGAACATGGAAGCAGAAACGCTTATGTTCATACAACTCACTCTGTTAAACTGATTACATTTACCTGCAGTCTGTGGTGCTCAGAGCTATACTGATCTCCCTAGAGCAGTGGTTCTCAACCTGTGGGTTGCAACCCCTTTGGGGGGTCAAACAACCCCTATCACAGGGGTCGCCTGATTCATAACAGTAGCAAAATTGCAGTTATGAAGTAGCAATGAAAATCGTTTTAGGGTTGGGGGGCGGGGGCCAGTGGCCACAACATGAGGAATTGTATTAAAGTGTTCAGCATGGGAGGTTGAGAACCATTGTTCTAGATGATTCTAAATCGTAGTTCTAGTTAAGACTACTGATTGCAGCCTTTTTGTATATTATTTTTATTAATATTTGGTGTCTTATAAATACTCTGTAGTTGTGAACTGATGACAAATCAATAAAGGGTAGGATTAAAGTGGTTAAATCATCAGTAAAAAATATTTATTCAACTCTTTGCAGGTTTCAGAATTTATTCAATATGCATACGATAGGCTTTGCTGTTGTTAGTTACTATTGAACTACTTTCAACTCTTAGCAGCTCTATGTACAACAGAATGCAATACTACCTAGTCCTACATCATCCTTACAATAATTCCTGTTTGAGCCCATTGTTACAGCTCCTAAATCATTCCATCTAATTGAGGATATTTTTTGTTTTCACTGGCCCTCTACCAAATACGATGTCCTTTTCCAGGGACTGCACCTTCCTGAGAACATGGTCAAAGATTGTGACACAAAATCTCACCATCCTCACTTCTGAGGAGTATTCTGGCTGTACTTTTACTAAGACAAATTTGTTTGTTCTTCTGATGCATGATTTATATTTGATATTCTTTGCTAATGCCATAACTGAAAGAAATCAATTTTTCTTCAGTCTCTATTAATTGTCCTATTTTCAGATGCATATAAGATCATTCAAAATATCATTGCTTGAGTCAGGCACACTTAGTCATCAAAGTGACATCTATGCTTTTTAACACTTTAAAGAATGGTTAACAACTTGTGTGATCCAAAGATAACAAAATGTAAATATGATGACGGGAAAAGAGGTTACATTGTGAACAACCAATTTGTAGAAGGCTGTGGAGGATATATATACAACTCTTTATAAAAGCATTTTAACTTATGGAAGTGTATGACACGTAAATATTAAGAAAATTACTTTAAAAAAAGATGCCAAACTTAACCAATGGTTATCATGGGTAAAGGAGGATGACTTTTGGCTTAGGTGGGCATTGAGTTTATGTTAATTGTGGTGGAATAATTTGGAAAGGAATATCAATAATGATTACACAAGCTCTACTATCAGGCAGAAATTATTGTAAACTTGATTATGGTATGATACTTGGTCAGTTGACCTCTCTTTTGACCCAATTTGAATTTGCTCTAGGTTCAAATATTTCTCACTTGTTCCACAACAGATATTTCTTCTCTGCCTTTTAAAATATTGCTGATGGCTGTTTCCTTCTTACTTTTTAAAAAAAATCATTTTATTGGGGCTCAAACAACTCTTATCATCCTCTGGTCTAACCAGATTTGCAAGGTAGAACTGGGATCATGATAGTGCAGGGGAGGAAGCATTTAATAACTAGACGTTTAATAACTAGAGGAAGGTTGTGAGTTTCATCAATGCTACACTGCACCCTGAGTGACTCATTTCCTCCCCACCAGCCCTCTGCATGGGATGTCCAGTTGTCTACAGATGGGCATTGGGTCCCCACCACGCACTCCCCCTCATTCACAATATCCAGCCCCCCCTTTGGTGCTTGATACCTGGTCCCCTTGACCCTCTTTATTATTTTATCATTATTTTCTTGAGGTTTTATTTTTGTTTTATATTATTTCTATTGAGTTTCTCATTTTGTAAAGCACAGGAGAAGTGGTTGTTTGCATAAAGACAATACCATACACAATGGTTAGTCGGGAACATGGAGGCAAGGGGATTTGGGAAGTGAACAATGAAAGTAGGACACTGCTATGATCTACCCAGTTGAATGCTGTTGCATAGTCAACAAAACACAAACATTGGTCTGGCACTTTGTTCTCAACCAGCATCCATTTGACACAATGATATTCCTTGTTCTACACATCTCCATCTGGCTTAAATTTCAGACAGTTCTCTGTCAATGCAACAGTATTTAAATTATCTTCAGGAAATTTTTACTTGCATATGATATTAATGATACTATTTGATAATCTCTGCATTTTTTCAGTTTACCTTTCTTTGGAATGGACATAAATACAAATCTCTTCCAGTTATCCAGGTAGCTGTCTTCCAGATTTCTTGACAGAGGTAAAACACCTCCATCTGTTTTGTTTAAAATCTCACTTGGTATTTCATCAACTCCTAGAACCTTGTTTTTTGGCTATGCTTTCTATGTAGCTTGGTGTTTTTCCTTCATTACCATCAGTTCTGAATTGAAATAATTGAATATTTAACAATTGTTTTGGTACAGTAACTCTATTCCTTCTGTCTGATTCTTCCTGCATCATTCAGTATTTTGCCAATGGAATCATTCATTATCGCACCTTAAACTTGAATTTTCTCTTCACTTCTTTGTTTGTGGAATGCCTAGCATGTTCTTCACCCCTTGGTATTCTAAATCCAGATTTTTGTATGTTTCATTATAATCCTTATTTTGTCAATCTCCTCTTTGAAATCTTCTGTTAACTCTTAATTCATCTCCTTTCACTTTCACTGTACATGTAACAGCATGTCTCATGTGTTAGTGTCCCTTCTGCCATCCATTTGGCCTTTTCTTTATCTTTTTAATTACCTTTTTGTTTTTTTCTTTTTTGGTGTCCTTGATTTCATCCCATTTGGTCTTTCGGTCATTAGTGTTCAGTGCATCAAATCTGTTCTTACACGGGTCTCTAAATTCAGAAGGGATTTACTCAGGGTTGTACTTTGGCTTTTGATGACTTTGAATTTGTAGCTTCAAAAGTTGAACTTGCATGTGAGCAAATACTATTCTGCTTGACCTTCTTCTGAGCTTCTCCATCAGCTCTTGCCATAGATGTAGTCAATTTTTATTCTTTTGTATTTCATCCAGTAAGTCCACATGTGAGCATGTAAATTACTGTGCTGTTGAACAAAGGTGTTTGCAATGCCAACTACTGGCCCTTCTTTCTTTTAACCTTTTCCATCTCAACCACCAGTAATTATCAATGCAACTTGATTGCATATGTAAGCAATTTCACACTGAACAAATTAGTAAAAATGTCAATATCTTCATCATTGGTGTTAGTAGTTGATGCATTAACTTAAATAATAGCCATTGTAACTGGTCTTCTTTAGGCAAATGGATATTATCCCTTGTATGCAGACTGTATATCAGGCTAACCCTAGAATATTTATATATTTTTAAAATCCTTTTATTGGGAGCTCATACAACTCTGATCACAATCCATACATTGTGTCAAGCACATTTGTACATTTGTTGCCATCATCATTCTCAAAACATTTTCTTTCTACTTGAGCCCTTGGTATCAGCTCCTAGATAGCTATAAAATTCTACTCTTATATTTCTAACAAAAAACAAAATCATATATAGCACTGTTATGTACTAAGACAGCATAATTATGAAAATAACCCTGCCAATTTCTTATTCTCATCATTAGCTGACTATTTATTGAGCAGCTAATCCATGTGAAACATTGAACCCTATGAGTTCAGCAAACTCATCAGCACCTTTTTTTGAAAGTAAACTTTTCTTGGATGCAGCTACAGCTGTCCGTGGAGGTTTGTTCACATTTTGTGTATGGCTCCTTTGGGGCTAAAGCAGCAGAATTGAGAAGCTAGAACACAGATATATGTAGGTATATTTCATTTATGTTTATATACAAGGAGCTTCCAAGCATTCATGAAAGTATGACATCTTTTATTTTCATTTTCGATGAAATTTTTGAACCCCTTATATATATCCATATACATTCTCATTCTTTCTTATATCTATAAATATGTACATACCACCCATTAGAATTTTAAAAGTAACTGCCTCACCCTCGAGGCATTAATTTGCAATCTATTTACCTTCTTAGTGTCAATGCTTATTTAATGTTAAGAACTTTGTCTAAAATCTAAGTAGAAATTCTAAGTAGACCTAGTCACATGTCTAATGATCTTATCTTGTGTTTCAAAGAAAAGCAAAATCTGCTTCATGCCTAAAGAAACTTTACAAGAGAGATTTTGATAACATATAAACATGTGATTGTAATTTTGATTTCTTTCCTTTTCTCAGAAAGCTCAGAAATATTTCTCTAAAAACTATTACAAAAGCAAAAAC